CTACCCCCACAAAAAAAATCCCATCCCCCATATACCCACCTCCCCCCAAACTTCACTAAGAACAACGTTTGCACGTTTGTTTCATTACATTAGACTGTGGCTCCTTAAATTCTTGATATATATTCAGGTACTTCATTTCTTCCTAGTTCTTCGCACTCTTGTCTTGTTCATCTTTTGTTAGGGGTTTTATCTGTACTGAAATTAATTACTTGAATTGGGTTTTGGGTTTAATCAGGTTTTTGGGTTTTGAAGCAGTCTCTTTAGGGTTTTTCAGTGAGCTGAAATTTTGATTAATCTAATAGAAATTGCTGAAGTTGTTTGATCATTCTGAATATAATTGTTTTTGCACATTGCCAGTTTGATTAGGGTGTCATAAAAATTGAATCTTTGCTTGATTCTGATGGCTCAGTCTAATTCTAAGCCACCTATGAGTCACAATTTTGGTGTGGGAGCTTCTCATGTAAGGTCTTTATCTCAACCAAGCATTTTCTTGAATAACTGTTTGCCCCCTTTGAGCCCTTTACCTCCTAGCGAGTCGTTGATTGTTTCGGCTAATACTAGTTTGAAGGACACATCCATGGAAGAAGTAGATGTGAATTGTCAAGTTCCAAAAGCTGTGTCTAACTTTGTAAGGGAAAATGCGTTGCGGGGTAGTGACGGTCTTCCTCCTCGGAAAGGACATCGTCGATCTAATAGTGATGTTTCGTTAGGATTCTCGGATATGATTCAGTCTTCGCCTCAGTTGATTCCCATAAGTGTGCAGAGAATTTCAGGGAGAGCAGTGAATCTTGGGGATAGCTCGGGGAGGGAAAAAACAATTGATTTGCAGAAACAGCCAATGGGTTTGAGTAGTAATGGAAGGATTGATGTAGAGGGAATTGGTGAGAGGAAATCGAGGGGAGAGGTTACGGATGAGTTGTTGTTTTCCTACATGAATTTGGAAAATATAGAGGCATTGAACTCTTCTGGCACTGAGGATAGAGACAAGGGCAGCATGGTCAGTGGTGCAAAGGTAAGCGGTAATGAGAGCAGCAACAATGAAGCAGAAAGTCTTTTGAAAGGGAACGGTGTTAGCAGCCAACTGACAAGTTTAAGGGAAGGGGTCAAGAGGAGTGCCGATGCAGATATTGCTCCAACCACGCGTCACTTTAGGAGTCTTTCCATGGATAGTGCAATTGGAGGTTTTCACTATGGAGATGAGTCACCAAAGTTACCAGCTTCTCTGGTAAACCATTCCGGTCAGCTGTCACCTAGTAATTCAGGAAATGAAAGTTCGAGCCAGCGCAATTTTGACTTTGGAAATGCTGAATTTAGTGAAGCTGAGATGAAGAAGATTATGGCAGATGAAAAACTTGCTGAGATTGCAGTTTCAGATCCAAAGCGTGCCAAAAGGTATGGAGATTAGCTGCTAAAAGATTCTTGTATATATTTGTATCCCTTTAAGAAGCCCAACTTTTGGTTATCCATAATATCGAAAAAAAGAGGGCGTCATGTATGCAAATCTTACTTGGCAGTTTCTTTCCTCAGGATATTGGCTAATCGTCAATCTGCTGCTCGATCCAAGGAGCGTAAATTGCGTTACATTTCAGAATTGGAATATAAGGTTCAAAAGCTACAGACAGAAGCCACTACTTTATCCACACAAGTTACCATCCTGCAGGTGCCTATAGAAAATGTTGTGGTTTTCCTTCAACGCTTCTTTTTTCAGTTTTATTTATTGGATTTTCATATACTTGGTACAGAAAGATTTTACTGAGCTCTCAAGCCTGAACAGTGAGCTGAAATTCCGCGTACAAGCCATGGAACAACAGGCACAACTTAGAGATGGTATTACTTTTCCGCTTTCATTTTCTTTTGGTTTCTAAGTATCTAGTGTGTTGCAAAAATGTATCTTGTGTGTTACAATTGGGAAGCGACCGAAATAAAATGTTTCACAGTATAAATGTTTATGAGTTAAAATATACTTTAATGAGTATTTTCTGAAAGTTGTCATTAAAGACTTAAAGTCATCAATTTTTTGGAGTTTTTGCAAAATTTTGTGGAAAGCTTTCCAATTTTTATTGGTTTCTTGTTTCCTTTTCTGTAGTTTGAAAAGATGTACATTCTAAGAGTATCAACTTAGTGGGTGTTTGTACATAAGAATTGTAAAATTCCAAAATTGGGGGGAAAATTGTTTTCAAGTGAAAATGATATTTAGAGTTGTGTTTGGACATGCATATAATTTTGGTTTGTTTTTGAAGTCTTGTGAGTGATTTGAGTAAAAATTTTGAAATACAGCTTTTTGGAGTTTTTCAAATTTTCGAAAATTTCTAAAATGCATCTTCAAGTGAAAAAATTGGAAATTTCATGAACAATCGTGGATTTCGAAAAAAAGTAAAAAATTTCTGGAAAAAAGGAATTTTTTTTTATGTCCAAACGGGCTCTTAATTTCATAGATTGTTTTAGACGTTGGTGGCCTCCATCTGCCTTGAACTTAACTGAAGTTTATTCGATTAATGCATTTGCAGTATTCTTTCAAGATAAGAAGTTCTATGCTGATAATTTTCAATTTATTTTGGCAAAATGAATTTATCTGCATAGAACCTCTTATCAAAAGAGGGGGAACACCTCCTTTGTATTTTGCTTGCATCCTCTCGATGTGATAATATCCTTAGTTTGTCTAAAAAAACTTTTTTATATTTGTAATACGTTTGGTGTGACAATTACTTCTTAAAAATAAAATCATAAAACTTGAAGAAGTTTAAAAATATTTGGGTGTTCACTGAAAACAGCTGGATAAGTAGTTTTATAGAAACAAAAAATTGCCATTTAAGTTTTGTCGAAAGAAAAGGTTGCAAGTTAACCTGATTTGAACTTCATGGCTCTAGCCTTCTGCATATTGTTTTTGTTGCTATTGTTTGAAGAAAATGGGAGGAAAGAGATTTTAATGGTGGTCGTGAGCTCATAATTGAGTAGATGGGGTTTATGAAGTACTTCTATGTGAGACAGAAAACAGAGGAGAAGAGATTAGTATGAGAAAAGCTTTTCAGGATAATTGAAAAGTAAGTAGGGGACGCAAATTCGATTATGTAAAGTTTAATTGGCAGATGGATGGGGCACGTACACAAACGAGGAGTTACTAACCACAATACCAACTCAGTGTTATGTGAAATTGATGCACAATCAATCACTATTTAATCAACTTTGTTTGTTTGGTTGGAAATTTTCAAAATGTAAGTGCTGCGAAAATTTCAATTTTCCTCTCTGAGAACCGACCCAAAAACCGAATCAGTGAACCTAAATATTTAATGTAGTCGTTTCAGTAGGATTAATTTGATTCTAACCAATAACGAACAGGCCTACTCAGAAAATCATGATTTTCTTTAACTGTGTACCCCAACATCAGCACCTGTCCTTTGATAGGTCCTTCAACTTCAACATTATCAACTGTTGTCTCACTGGCAGTCAAGTAAGATGTTCCAGCTGAACCGTTTGTGTTTGTTTTTGATAGTTTTTTATTGTGCTTCCCAGTTCTGTTGCATATCATCTCTGCCCTCGTGGACATGTCACTGTCAGTAGGCTGTACAGCATACATCTTTTTTTTCCCCTTATTTGGTTTCCTAAGTTTATTAGGGTGGAGGTTTCTCTTAAAAAGTTGCAATTATTGTACCAAACAATTCCTTTATGAAATCTGTGAAGGCTAAGGCATTTGAAAATTAAATTTTCCAGAGAGCAAAGTTTGCCTGTGTTCCTTATCCAAAAAAAAAAAAAAAAAAAGTTTGCCTGTGTTTGTTTGATTACTTTAGAACAAAGAGTAATTTTAAGGTAGAACAATATATTGTTCTAATCATGCCTGCTCTGTAGATGACTATGTGAATGTCTTCTTGATGCACCTATGCACAAAAACGCAGAGTTGTAACTTTAGTTTTGCGCTGCAGCTCTGCATGAGGCATTAACTTCAGAAGTTCAGCGTTTAAAGCTCGCAGCAGGAGAACTTAGGGATGAAGGACGGTTGCCTAATAGCATGATACAACAGATGCCAGTGAAGCATAATATGTTCCCGATGCAGCGACAGCAACCTAGTCAAATCCAACAATTATCCGTTGGAAAACCAACCACTGCATCATCGGCTTCAGCCACACCTGCATCCGCCTAGTGGGCGAATACAGACAATTGAGGAGGTGAAGATCGTCTTTCAAATGAAACCAAAAAGTTCGTTACCCATTACTGGTCTCTCATGCTATGCACAGTGCTGAGAACCTGAGCTTTAGATAGTCATTATATAAGGTTTTTTACACATTTCTGGCTACAACCCTTAATTCTATATGTTTTAAATCATTATTTTGTTCATTGGAAATGACTATGACAATAAATTGGAGTCAAACTTTGAGCCAATGTGTTCTCATCTACTGTTTTCTAGTTCCAAGGAAATTGAGGGCTGACTATCTTAGTTTAGTCTCAGTTCCTCTGGATTTCTACTACTACTGCAACCTATTGTTCAGTCTGCTTAGTGCATGTTGCCTTTTCCATCATTCTTAAGCGTACGTCGCACGTCATACGATTGGAATCTGTTGATGAAACTTTGGTAAGTTTAGAACAATATACTTGGATTGATCCCCAGCTGTTGCCGAGCTCTTACAATCTACTACAAGTCTTTTTATCTGCTGGTCTTCCTTCTTACTCTGTACTTGCAAAGTATAAGACCATATCTCCTCTCACAGAAAAGTAGTAGTAGTTCAAGTTTAGAGTTAGTTTAACCCCATTTGACTAAAGGAGGCTAAATGAAACAAGGAAAAAGAGAAGTAGTAAAAGGTGGAGACAAGGAAATGCACCAAAGGTAATGTTGTCTAATGTAATGAAACTTCCTTTGTTGTTTAATGCTTTTAGTAATCTAAAGTACAATGATGAACTGCCTTCAAATCTTAGAAATTAGAGTTTAAATTTCAGCCGAGATAAATATTAGATTTTTTTTTTTTAAACCGACCCTGTGGACGAGATTACTACTACTTAGTGCTCTAAGTTGCTTGGACTCAGATGCAGGTATCCGATACGGGTGCGGATGTAGAAGTCGGATCCTTCATAATCCAAATCTTAAGATTCAGGGGTACGGATACGAGTACATCAATTCGGATAAATATAATTCAAATATCTAAAAGCAAAGTTATAAAAATATGTCTAAATTATGAAACATTATGTGGAAAACTTATAGGTATTCCGAAAAGGAAAAAATATTGATCAAGAGGAGAATCCGAGAAGGAGATAAAAGTAAAATAACTGACATAGAAATTTCTATATACAAAATATTTCATCTTCTTCAATTTCACCTACCGTTTGTTTTAAATTCAAAAATTATTTTATCTATCCTGAATCTCTCCATTGATTTTGGTCAACGAACCCAAAATCGATTGACCAGATCCGGTACGGATCCCACATCCACAACTATGTCGTATCGACACGGGTGCGACACTCAAAACGAAGAGTCCGAACAACTTAGCTTGTGCTAGTGGGAAATAATAAATATTGTAAGAAATAATAGAAATGTATGTATACTAGGCTAGATACCATTGTCACAAAATAAGTAATCTAAACTACAAACAACATGGTATACCTAATATTTATAGTTTGCTACAATCAACCTGAGATCAACAAGAACAACATCCCAGTACAATCTAAAACATGAAATCGCCATATACAATTGAAAACCTATGGTCATAGGATCACTGCTACTTAATTAAGCATATAAAAAAATTAAAAAATAGTGGAAGGTGTAAGAGAAAAATCCAAAAAGAGCAACTAAATAATGACCAAAGAGTCCAAAAAAAGGGCATATGCCCTCCACCCCATAGGGAAAAGAATCAAAATTCTCCAGTGGACAAAACCCTTAAACCCTACACAAATATCGCAAATTCCTATAAAATAAAAAATATCTGTCCGACAGCGACCACTAAATCGAACATAACGTACATATATTGTATTGTATAGTAGAGTATAGTTTGTTCTAATTTTCCAAATTCAAAAAAAATCACACTGCAGAAAAAGCGAAAAAAGAAAAAGGAAAGCACTATAATTATCCATTCCACCAATCCGTATATCTACTTTCGACCCACAAATTTAATAAAGCCTCACATTCTCGGAATACACAAAAACAAATTAAAATCTTCTTTTAATAGCGTTATTTTGTAGGGTTTCTGATGTTTACTTTCTGAAACTACTACTATTACTTTGGTTTGCTTATAGACCCTTTTGCCGCCGATTCCTTTCAAATCTCCGTTACTCCGCCGATCACCGGCAGTTTTGTTGTATTGAGGTTACGTTTCAGTTCGATCTACGTTTTTTTGAATTTTTTCGACCGTTGAGTGAGTTCGCCGGAGATGTCGGAGGTAGAGGCAGAGAAGACGGTGGAGGAAGAGGTGGTGAAGGGTGGTGAGCTGCTGTTTTGTGGATGTACTAGTTGGGATGCTATTGGTCGCCGGAAAGTGGCGGAAGGGAATTTGATTTCTCCGACGAGGCTTCGACCGCTTCTTGGTGTCAACATTTGTTTCGTTGCCTCTGGCTGCGGTATATTATGTTCTTTTTTGCTTTTTTCCCTTAAAAAATGATTTTTGCTTAGTTGTATTGCTACACTTGCATTGTGTTTTTTTAATCTTTTTAGTTTGCTTAGTGAAACTGGTTAAAATGTAGTGGAATGTATGTTGAGGATTCATATAGTCGACCCCGATTAGTTTGGATTAAGTCAAAGTTATTGTGTTTTAGTGATTCTGCGCCTATTATTCTTTTTCATTTTTTCCCTTACATGTTGGTGGGAGTGCAGCTTCTTGTCATTGTGTAGCACTAGATACTGAAGGACGTTGCTATACATGGGGAAGGAATGAGGCAAGTTGTTTTGTGTGTGTTTATCTCTGTCTGTTTATGCTGCTTTTGTTACCGTAATGTGAAGTATGGTAGTTTTGCAGAAAGGGCAGCTTGGTCATGGAGATAAAATTACACGTGATAGACCAACTGTTGTTTCTGAACTCTCCAAGTAAGTTGTTCTTGGCTTGTATCTTCCTTCAATGGCAGATATAGCTGATCTTTTTTGAAATATTTACCAAGTTTAAACCCGCTACCACAATGGAGTATTGGTTGCAGTGGTATAACGTACCCTATGGCTAAAAACCCTATATTTGTCCTATTTTCCCCTGCTTATAGTTATTTGGTTTTCTCAAAACCCTAAATTTGCCCTATTTTCCCGTGCTGATAGCTCTTTGGTTCTCTCTTTGTTGAAAACGTTGAGACAAACCTTTCTATTTTATTTGCTTAACAAAAAAGAATCTACCTTTATTTTGTTTCTTCATTGTTTGAGGCCGGTTAAGCATTTTTCAAAAGTTAGTCGCCTCTATAGCCATGAAGAAACTAAGTTGTAGGTTTGATATTCGTAAGATGCCATCATGCTACAACTTTATTTTATGCTTAATTAAATGGTTGGTCATGCCTCTTGACTGCAACTTGGAATATTAGGAACAACATGAGTTGTCTTTAAAAAATATATAGGTTTGTTATGATAATTTAAGCGCATATGTAGATGATTTCAAATCTGTAGTTCTTATGAGGGAGGTGTTATTGGGCTCGTTTTCTTGCTTCCGTTTCTTATAAGGTACAGTAACAGTAAACATTTTACTGCTAAAACTGAATGTATATGTGTATAGAAGCAAGAAATGCTTCCAATACCCTTCTTAAGTTCCCTCTATGGTTAGTCCATATCTCCTGAAACCTTTATGTCTATTAAGTATCTACTTCTGTCATTAAATAGAACTTTTTCATTCCAGGCATAAAATCATTAGAGCCGCAGCTGGAAGGAGCCACACAGTGGTAGTGACTGAAGATGGACAGTCCTTTGCTTTTGGTTGGAATAAACATGGGCAGCTTGGTACAGGCTCTGCAAAAAATGGTGAGCACCTTTGTCACCCTACTTTGTTCCTTCCCTCTCTGTTCGATACATACTTGTGAATTAGTTTGTGTAACATAAGATATGATGACTATATGCCTTTGTTTCACCTTTGTGCATTTTTGCTTAATGCATTTCTCTGATGGATGCTTTTAGCTGCCTATCTTACAATAGGGGCCAATTCCTCTTTGGAATTTTATGTATGGAATTTAATCCTATTTTTGTTCCTGACTGAAAAGCTGGTAAATTTTAGTTACGAGAATGGTGAATGCGATTCTGTCATGCCTTACAAAAAGCTGGTTAATACTCTGCAAGAAGTGTTAAGTCTTTTAGATGAAGAATGCATGAAATGGTGGACAGAATTGTTGAGGGCCATTTTGCGTGTTTTTCCAGTTCTTTCTTGCCTTAACAGGAAAATTATATGCTTACCAGGGTTTCCATTTAATCACCTTGTTGTTCTAGGAAACCGTCTCGTTGAGGTTGATTTGGTGCTGAACTATCTTGACATAAGTAAGAATGATAATGTAAGTAGTAACAGTGTTTATCTTGACATATGAATTATTCGAGGGCTGGTTTGTGCCAATATCTTCTGCCAGAGCTCTTTACTGTGTCCCACTTGAGGAATGAGTTGCATTTCTATCGTAGATTGTGTGAACTTCACTTGTAAAAGAGATGAGATTGATGAGAAGTTGAGAACGCTAGTAATTTGGTAACTAAAAAACTTAAGACACAGGTTTGTAAGTGACAAGTCCATTTTTTCAAAGAATGAAGAACTTAACAACTTAGAGATCTATATTTCTTTTCTTTCAAAAAGCGTTTTCTGGAACATTGATCATGGACTTGAATCAAAAGTGAGGAGATGGAATCCATGCAGAGAGACAGTTAAGGTGAAAGGGTTGGGAATATGTCAAATTCAGTTACTTGACTGAGTGGAGTGGAGGGGGGAAGTTGATAATGTAATCTACTATTCAACCGGGCTAGTGGCAAGTTTACAAATTTTAGTCATGCCTTTGATTCCTCTGGATGTTGTGGCAAGTAAAGGATTGCTGAACCTATTTATCTGATTCAACTTCTGTTTGGTTATAGAATCTGTTATGCTCAATTTTTCTTTTTGACGGTTAGGCTATAGTGATTTACAGAGGAATTACGTGTGCATATCCTCGCTCAGCTAATATTGTACAGTTATTTGTGTCGATGTGAAGTTAATCTAATTAGCACTGGATGGCGGAGACATCTATGTCCATATTCCCAAGGGTGCTCGAGGTTTAATTACAGCAGTGTGGCGTTTGATAACGACTAGCGAGTGGCTTTCCCCCCCCCCCCCCCCCAAAAAAAAAAGTTCCATCTGTCTACCTCTTTCTTACTATTAGCTAAAGCATTTAAGAACTGCAAATTGTATGCATGATATTTACATTTACAGTTTGATAATGTATTATCGACAAGATCCATAAAACTCTTTGGTAAAAAATTTAAGCAGTAAAAGGAAAGTAAGTGTAGCAGATTGAAACATAAATTTGTAATAGGCAGCAGAGCCTGCTTGTACATGCATTTCTGCTGAAAGTTTGTTCATTAAAATATTTAAGATCATATAATCTAGTGTAGGAAAGAACAACAATTCTTTGATTATATAAGCCAGTGCGTAGGACCTTATAAGAAAAGTTGGGGTAGTAACGAACCAAAAACTTGCTTTACGCATCCTACTGTCTTTATTTCCTAGCATTATGAGTCTATTAATTTCTTCTGTCTTGGGTTAGTTTCCATTCTTTTGTAAAATAATAAATTAAGATCATCACTTTTTTGTATTGTTGCAGAAATTGAATCATCTCCAGTCCAATGTGCTGTCTCTGAAGTCAAAACTGCTACTTGTGGGGCTGAATTTACTGTGTGGCTAACCTCAGTTGAAGGAGCTTCTATATTGTATGGTTTGTAATTTTTTTTTCTTTTAACCACCTTGATAATGCTTTGTATGAATAGAAAATTTTTGTTGTGCCATTTTCAGCTCCGATTTTGCTTACTCTCTTATTCGCATGTTATTTTGTGGTTTCTAGAACTGCCGGTCTGCCTCAGTATGGTCAGCTTGGTCATGGTACTGACAATGAGGTACGGTTTGGAAATTTTCTCATTTGTTTTTACTTTATCTTCTGTGACATGGACAAACGCTTCCAATATTTCCTTCTTACATATCGGAAATTTATGTCTTCAGCATGATGTATAACAAAATCTCGAATTGCAATATTTCCTTTAGCAGCAACAGTATGTCACCACAAGATCATCTATTCAATGTAATTAATAATGATACAACTTTCTTGATACTTGTTCATAAATTGAAATCATAGTTAGCAGCAATTGGATGAGCATAGTTGTTATCTTCTCCACTTTATCTTGTATTTCTATCTAGGCCCCCTTGTCCATTGCAACTGGTAGAGCTTTTTTTTATATTAACAGGAAAATTGAAAATTTTGACCATCTAAGGTCTACTTTCTAAAAACTTACATCTTTATTTCTCCTTTAGCCTTGTTCTCTTCCTGCTTTGGCACATGAAGTTAAGGAGATTGGTACACTAAACAGGCAAAATGTATGAGGATGTGGAAGTCTACCGTGTGATATGTAATTGTAGGAGCATAATTATTTGAACTAGTTTATTTTTTGTTTATTTATTTATCCTTTTTGTGCACCTGTATGACGTGAGGATGATAACCAGTCATGCTGATGTTGGTGCTTGTTTCCCTATCAAAGCACTTAAAAAACATTCATGTCCCAACATCTCATTATTTTTACTAAAACATTCATGTCCCAGCCTCATTAATTTTACTGACATGTATCTCACCAATCTGTACCATGTAGATGATAAGTTATGTGGATGGCACGTTTTACACCGAATAATCAGTGATTTTCTCCTTCACAATGGAGTGCTTTTATACTTCATATTGGGCTTTTATTTCTTGATGATTTCAGTTTTAATTATTCTCCGAAATTAAATGTAGAAACTTAAATATAAATGCGCCAAATCTGTAATTGGGAACACCATAGCCAATTTTCCCCCTTTCATGGCAAGAACGGGGGTCAGTCTAATAGTATATTTGGCCAAGCTTCTAAAATCAGCTTATTTTGAAAAGTGTATTTTTCTATTAGTGCCAGTGTTGTCAAAGGCGCTCTTAAGCCCTGAAGCGAGACTCAAAACACGTTGAGCGCTTCGCCTCGCTTGGTGGGCGCTTTAGTGTCGTATCAAAGCTCTAAGACATATTTTTCCTTGCCAATGAGTGTAATCCTGAAAAGGCGAACTTAAACAATTGATATTTCACTTTATCGTGATTTGTTTTTCAATTTCTTTGTCCATATAATTGTTAATCATGCTTATAATGATTAGTCTTGGACTACATGCATATTTTTACTTTTTCTCCCGTTGTGCCTTTTTCATTAAAGCCCACGCATTATTTGCGCTTTGCACTTAAAGCCCCAACGGACCTTAGAGCTTTTTTGTGCTTTTCGCCTTTGATAACACTGATAAGTGCTTTTCAAAAAAGTACTTTTAGTGAAAAGCAATTTGTATTTGGCTAATCAATTTGATAAGTACTTTTGAGCAACAATTGTTTGGCCAAGCTTTTAGAAATTGCTTCTAAGTATAATTTTCTCAAAAGCGTTTTTCACAAAGGTACTTTTGGGGAGAAGTTACTTTTGTCTGCTACTTAAAAACTGCTTGTGCTTCCACTCAAAAGCACTTTTTTTCTTCTTAGAAGCTTGGCCAAACACCTCAACTTTGGAAAAAATATTTTTTTTCTTTCAAAAAATTACTTTTGACCTTGGAGAAGCTTGGCCAAACAAGCTATAAATGAGTTGGCCTGTGGTTAGTTGTGCCTTATCGCAACACATTATTCGAGACCGTGGAAGCTGATATTTTGATTTTTAAATTTGGAAGAGATTGTAATAAAACATTCACATAGTAGCATCTTTATATTTGAAATTGGGACTTGCATTCTTTGAATTAATTAAGGATGCCCTGTAACATGCAGTATAATACCAAAGATAGCTCGGTAAAGCTAGCCTATGAAGCTCAACCCCGACCTAGAGCTATAGCAGCTTTTTCTGGAGAGACTATAGTCAAAGTAGCTTGTGGAACAAATCACACAGGTTCATCTCAACTTAAATTAAACAAATTTAGATATTGTCAGATTTGCTTAGTGCCTTTACCTTCTCTTTTTCTGGATTTCAGTTGCAGTGGATAAGAATGGATATGTATACACGTAAGTTCTACCTTAGCTTGTTTGCTTTGACTTGACAATATGTACAGAGACTGACTTACTCTTTCCTCTGTTTTGGCAAACAAATCCTAGGTGGGGATTTGGCGGTTATGGGAGGTTCGTTCATTCTATTTCATATTTTCCTATGTCTATGTAGTGGAGGTCCATTGCACCACCGTGTCTTTTCCGTGCTCTTTTTGGATCTTATAAGTATAAACAAAAAGATGTGCTTGGTTTTGCTGATTGCAGGCTTGGTCATAGAGAACAGAAGGATGAGTGGACTCCTCGACGAGTTGATGTTTTCACACGGCAGAATGTCTTGCCTCCAAATGCAGTGGTTTCAGCAGGTTCTGCCAACTCAGCATGCACTGCTGGTATGGTTTTTCTTGTTCCTTTTGGTGTCCCCGTTTTGTTTTGATATCATTTTTGAAATTTTATCTGTACACTTGTAAGCTGCTCCCCATGTGAAATGCCATCATCATTGATATCTCTACTAGCTCCACCTTTTCTACACGAGCTTTTCTTTTCCAAATATTTTTTTTTTCAAAAACTCTCCCCAAAAGTTTTCTAATGGCTCCTAATAAGTTGCTACAGCCTAGAGGTGTTCTCACATGAGTAGATTGCGATCTTTAAATGTATATTCTAAAGACGATTATTATTACATGTAGTGCTTCCACGTTTAGTTATTGCTTTGAGTGAAGAAGGGAAAAAATCCATTATCAACACTATATAATTGATTATTCCCACGAATAAGTGGATTGTTAGCCGGCGTCTTCTTTAGAATGTGAACATAAAGTTAGCTGTCTAGTTACGTGTAAAAAGTGTAAAATTAATGTCTGGTTATTTTTGGTTCTTGAAGTACAGATTGATTACATGTGAAAATAAGTAAGGTGTTATTATGGGCTAATCAAATCCTTGTTAATTTTTAATACAACAACAAAAAAAACCCAGTGTAATCGCACAAAGTGGTATCCCTGCCCTGTGAAGTGTAATCGCACAAAGTGGTATCCCTTCCCTGTGAAGATAGAGATAGAGAGGCCGTTTATTTTACCACCTTACTTATTTTCACATGTAATCCACACTTCAAGAACCAAATATAACCAGACATTAAATAAAAATAAAAGAAAAAGAAGCAGACACAACAAGCAGTAACGACATCAAAGTCCTTGTTAATTCTTAATATGTTAAATTCATGTCTAAATTTTAAGTATTCAACCAATCAACTATGCCTTAATTCCAAATTAGTTAGGTTTTTTTCTTTTCTAAATTTGTATTCTTTGTATCCATCCTACATTGAAAAGATTATCCTAGTTTGGCTTTTTGGGTATATTCACACTGATATCTTCTTGCAATCCTCCTTAATCCGATTTTGGTAGTGGACAGGTTTTGTGAAGCTTACGTCAGTGGATTTAGTGGTTCTTAATTTTTAGTAATCATTGGTCAAAGATCGTAAAAGAAAAAGTGACCAATAGTAAACATACAACCCTGATCCCAAAATACTCTACCAGCCTTGATTGCATGGAAATTAAAACTAAATTGATTGAAATATTTACTATTGTTAGTTAGTGGTTAAAATTATTATGTGACATGTAGACTGGTGAAGGAAATAGTTGGTTTGAACAAGCATAGTTCTTAGTTGTTTAAATTTTGGCGGCCGAGTTTGTCATACTAGGAATGAGGTTAATCTTTTCAGGACACAGTAGAAATAAAAGCAGGTTGAGTATCTTTTATAATGGAGTGGGGCGGTAGTGTCTGTCTGAAATTTGCTCTGCAAGTAAAATCATTCTACACAAGATGTGATCAGGCCACTTTCTACTAATTGCAATATGGTGGGCCCATGAATAGCAATAAACATCTCTAACTTAAAACTTCTAATAATGTTTTCTTGTGCAGGAGGAGGACAGCTTTACATGTGGGGCAAAGTAAAGAACAGCGGGGATGATTGGATGTATCCTAAACCTCTTCTGGATTTGAGGTTTTGTTCTTTATAATATTTGAATTTCCAAATTTTATTTTGCTCATACTATTAGTAAAGATGACAGAATGAGCTGCTTGTGCGATGTTTTCCATGTACTGGGTGAATTATAATGTTTGTGATAACAATACTGGGCGAAGTATAATTTTGTCAATGTTTTCTGGTTACATCTGCGATAACATCAATGAAGATGGTGTTTGAAATTTCTTTTCCTTTCGTCTTGTCGTTAGGGGTAATAGGGTGATTTCAATGCAAAGTCTTGGCAGAGTATCTTTGCAGTCTTGGTTGCTTCTTTGGATATATTGTGTTCAAGTTGCAATTTTCACTCTTCATGTAGGAAGATCTTTAATGGCAACCACGCTTTAATGGGGTATTGTTGTATCCGCTTACCCAGTCATTGTCTGGGGCTATATCTAATAGGGCATTCTCTATTCAAAAGCACAACATTTTTCTTCTGTTATTAAGACTACTGGATTGATATTTGTGCTATATTCTGTATTTCTAGTGGATGGAACCTGCGATGTATGGATTCTGGACATATGCACCACTTTGTCGGTGCTGATTCCTCGTGCATTAGTTGGGGCCATGCACAATCAGGGGAGCTGGGTTATGGACCAACTGGACAAAAGTAGGTTTGATTCATATCTATTCTTTTTTTGGTTGAGTTCTGTGCACTTACTCTTCATTTATTTCGTCCTTTTCTCAATAGATCTTCTGCAGTTCCTAAGAAGGTGGACATTTTAGATGGCATGCATGTTATCAGGTTAGTCTATTTCTGAAAAAAATGTTAATCTTAGAAGATGGAACTTTACATGCTGAATCCTAGGGTCTCCCTTTTTGTAGTGTTGCTTGCGGATTTGCCCACTCCATGGTTGTGATTGACAAGACCAATGTTGAAGATCGACTTGATCAGGTAATATTACTGTTACAGTTAATGTTTTCGCCTATATGTGTTATCTTGATAATGAGTATTAATTTATATTGATAAATTTAGACCTTCCTATGGCATGTCATTTTTTGGTTTGGGTGTGGGGGTGGGTGGGGTGGGGATTATAAAGACATTTGGTTTATTTTTATTTGCTCTTGTGTAAGTTATCTAATTTCTTCCATTTATTCCTCACAGCTTGACGTATATGATGGCAAGGCTTCTGAGGAAGGTACAGCTCTTACCTTTATCTATCTCTATATGTTCAGAGATTAAAAGTATGTGGATAAAAGTTCTTATAGCTAGTTGTAGGATTTTTTGGGGGAAATATACTTTGCTTCTTCTTTGTTTTTGCTTCAAGTGCGATTGAATCAAGTATCCATGGAATTGCTAATTCCTTTAGGAGATGAAAGAAAGGGGTGTCAATGATGGTCAATTCATCTCCTCCCCAAACCCCACCCCCTAACCGTGGATATGTTTTGTGAACTTATTTGTTAATTCATCTATCGTTATATTCTCCTAGAAAACTGATCCTAAATATTTGGATTGTCTGCATTAGGCACCACAAAAACCTGTCTGCATCTAATTCACTTGACTTCTGCTAATTATGCTATTCTCCTCTATTTTACCCATTCTATCTTATTTTATGCATTAAATTTTCATACATCAGGCTATTCTCCTTGAAAACTGAACATATATATACAAGTTGGCTGGATGTAGATACCACAACCCCATTTAATATCACTTCCCCTTCCTTCCCTTTAAACTTGTACTGCATGCATTCCATACTTCTACTGCTCTTAAAATCCATATCCTGTAGAGCGCTTCATATTTTTGGATCATTTGCAAATAGCATATATTATGAAACATTATCCTGCAAAGCATCCATAAAACAAATAAGGTAGGATAGCTAAAATAAAGGACTGCAATGGGTTGTTATACTAGTAATGTTATATGAGAGTGAATATAATGTCGGTAGCTTAAAATGTCCACGAGATGAATGTCACAAAAATTGATAACATTGGATTGAAAGTAGAGGATAAACTTAGAGAAGGTCGCTTGAGATGGTTTTGTCATGTCTTATGTGGACCTCTAGATTGTAGTGCTCAATTTGTCAACTGGTTTAGGATGTTTGTTGTGACCCTCTCTTCGTGGTTGATTATTAAGTTAGAGTAGACAGACGTGCCATGTGAAAGGCAAAATTGTTCACTTGTTGAACTGAGGAAATAGTTGGCATGAAAGTCCTATTTATTTTTACAATCATTCAATGCCTTTTCTTACTATAGTTGCAAATTGATCTTTTGCTGCAGCGAGCGTAGAACCTGTGAGTGAATCTCCAGTTTCTCAAAAGGCTTCCAAAAAAGGGTCTGCTAAGGCACCTGCAAATTCAAATAAGAGGAAGAAAAAAGATGCATCATCTGATTCTGAAGGTGAGGAGGAAAATAGTGATGATGAGAGTGATGACTATGAAGAAAAATCTAATGGGCGAGCTAAGTCTTCCAGCAGAGGTCGTGGAAAGGCTGCTGGAAGAGCTACAGCAAGTAAAAAGGGCAGTGGCCGTGGGAGGGGTCGACCTCCATCAGCAAGTAAAAGCTCCCAGCCTGAAGGGAAAGTAACGCCAGGTAAAAGAGGAAGGCCCAGGAAATCGTAAGAGTACAACTTTCCTGGTTAAGCTAAAAGCTTCTCAATATGATGAAGTGTATCTTATTCTCCATTGGCTACTTAGTTGCACTTTAAAAAGTACATCATTTTCGTCATTATTTCCATTCTACATTCTGAAATTTAGCAAGTGTAAAGCATTTGTGCTTTAAATTTGTTACCTGTATTGACATAGAGCATTGACCGCGAAGATGTAGGTGTTTGTCCGAGTTTGTACCTGGTCAAGCTCGTTTTTGGGGAGAGGAGAAAAAAGGGAAAGAAAAAAAAAACTTTTCTGGCAGTGAGGTGTATTGGATTTTTTCACTAACCTTATAAGTTGTAGCATTCCTCTCTGATGGCTAATTTCTTTGCTAATTTATGTTGACCAAATCTGCATTGCAATGGAAACAAATCTGTGCTTATCATCTATGATAGCTAGTAATATGGTGGTCTAAAAGAAGTATTAAACGGAATGTATTGTTCTGGATTAGCACTGTTAGTAATGGTTTGTTCTTGTCTTGTATATGATAAATGATAGTGATTTTTCTTCCTTTTATTTCCACACATGCCCTTCTGCTAGTTATTGGTTTGTAGAGGCTGAAAAATAGAGCAGACTATCGTAGTTTTGGGTTCCCATTTGGAACACACAGTGGATACTCCTTTGATGTGTAAAACTTGTAAGAAATGTACTCTAGCACATATGCAAGAATCATCTTAAGTGAATTAAACTATATAATAAGCGTAGTTTCCCTTCTTTTTGTGTTGTTTTCTTGTCTTTCTATTTCTTTTTCAAGTTATTGTTTTCCTTCTAGTATTTGTTTCATTTTCAGAGATGGTGCAAAGGCATTCTTGCAACAGACGTTGTAGTGATTCCAATGACCACAAGTTCGTTTATAATTATGTTGATTTCTTAGTTTTGGACCCTACATTTTAATCGTTGTTGCTTGTAAAGTCAAGCATGGAATAGAAAGAAGTTATAAGCCAGACGTTTAGTTGCTTTCATTTATGGAAAGTTAGTGACTTTTCTCTTTGGGGGAAGCAAAGGTGGGGACCAAATATAGAAAAACAAAGAGGAGTATTCAAGTTTATGTCTCGACTTGGATTTAAGTCAATAGTTCTACCAATTAGCGTTCATTCAATCATTCGAAAGCTACTATTCCTGCAATTTTTTATTTTTTTTACATTTTCTTGAGGAGAAGAAAAAAAAAAGACCGCCC